AACGTTCAATTTAACAGTAAGTGGTGAATGTTATCCTAAGAGTTGAAGGTTGTAGGCAGTTGGGAGAGGGCTTGAATGTTAGCAGTGATGGGAAGGCTGCATTTTGAGAATCTAATCTGGTGAGAGGGGAGTATTAAGTGAAAAGCCACCCGGTGACCCAGCCACTTTTGCTTGAGTCTCATGCCCTCTAGAGATAGCCACGATAAGGACTTTGGTGAAAATTTCTCCAAAGTAATGTGCACATGTTAAAGGCTGTGGGCCAGTGTTTTATCACAGAACAAGAAACCAAACAAAACAGTCTTTCTCTTAACTGTCTAGAAGCATTTTTCCTGAAGTTTCTCCATCATTTTGTTCAGATTCTTGAAGCATTATTCTTGGTTTAGATTTCATATTTCTAGAGCCACCTTCCCTCAGTTCACCATGAAGGAGCCTGGCTCCCAGGCTCAATGTCCATTATACATTCTTGCCTCATTAAATACCCATTTTACTCATCTTTAACCAAGCTGAATTCTTGTGACTCATTTGAGTAATTATTAATCTGCTTCTTTCACTCAGTACCATACAGGTAGCCATGACAAAGAATTTAGAATGTAACCAGTTGGGTTTTGCTCACTGTTTTTATATTTGGCATCTAAAGGCCTGGCAGATGGTAGCTGCTCAGTGACTGGATTGTGACCCGCTGCCAGGCCACAGTAGCCAGCCCTGATGTGCAGAAATCTTCATGATTTTTTTTTCTCTGCTTCTGAAACAGCTCTAAAAATGTGACCTAGACATTAAACTCGATGTGTTAAGGATCAGCTAAATCAACTCATTCTAGGCTCAGGAAATGTGGCAGAAAAGGAGGCAGCAAGAAAACAAGAGCCGGAGGACAGGGAGGAGTGAGGGATGCATTCTTTCCACTATGACGTAGATAGTATATCAAAGACCAGCAATAGCTGCAGTTACCTGTGTGGTACATGCTCAAGATTGGGCCTGACAGAATTCTGACATGCATGGGGGAGGGCCCCAGGAATCCCCACCTTTCCCTGAGGAAGTGTGACTTAATGGTTACTTGAGAAGGAGAGACAGTTACTTCAGTAGTACGGATAATGGTGAGTTGGCAATGCTTTCATAATTTCTTACCCATGTCCATGTAAGTGACCATAACAAAACTTAGTCATAGACACACACCATGAAAATAGAAAGGGAAAAGATTGGAAAGAAAACAGGGTTTGGCAATAGAAGAAAGGGGACAAGAAAAGGTAGTAAGGGTGACTTCGATCAAAATACTTTATATGCATGTTCAGAATTCTCAAAAAAAAATTACTAAAAGGTTTTAAACCCTACAAGTTTAAATCAAACCCTACAAATTCAAGTCTAACCTGGGCAACACAGCAAGACCCAGGCTCAAAATAAAAAGTTTTTTTAAAAATAGCTAGGGCTAGAGATCAGTAGTAGAATGCTTGCCCAGTGTGGATGAAGCTCCAAGTTCAATTCCCAGTTCAGCACCAAACAAAAACCTAAGAGTCACAAGAAAAATTATATCTCTCAGTTTCTCAAACACAAGATTTTTAAAAAATGTTATGTTAGCAAAAATTCAAGTAACCCAATTTAAAAAATGGGGTACAGAGCTAAACAGAGAATTCTCAATAAAGGAATATCAAATGGCAGAGAAACACTTAAAGAAATGCTCAACATCCTTAGCCACCAGAAAAATGCAAATCAAAATGACCCTGAAACCTTACACCCATCAGATCAAAAACTCAAGTGAGAACACATGCTGGAGAGGATGTGGAGAAAGGGAAACCCTCCTTCATTGTTGGGGGAATGTAAACTTGTACAACCACTTTGGAAATCAATCCAGTGCTTTCTCAGTCAATTAGGAACAATGTTTCCTCAAGATCCAGCTATAGCACTCCTAGGCATATATCCAAAATATACTCAAGTATACAACAAGGATATTTGCTGGACCATGTTCACAGCAGCTTTATTTGTAATAGCCAGAAGCTGGAAACAACCTAGATGCCCCTCAACTGAGGAAAGGATACAAAAATTGTGGTACATTTACACAATGGAATACTACTCAGCAATTAAAAACAAGAAAATCGTGAAATTTGCAGGCAAATTGTAAGAACTAGAAATTAACATCCTGAGTGAGTTATCCCAGAAGCAGAAAGACATATGTGGTATATACTCACTTATAAAGTGGATACTAGACCTATAAGATAGGATAAACATACTAAAATCTGCACACCTAAAGAAGCTAAGCAAGGAGGAGGACCCTGGGTAAGATGATCATTCCTCATGCAGAAAGGCAAAGGGGATGGACATTGGAGGAAGGAGAAAACAGGCAACAGGAAAGGAGCCTACCACAGAGGGCCACTGAAAGACTTTACCCAGCAAGGTATCGAAGGAGATGCTGAGACTCATAGCCAAACTTTGGGCAGAGTGCAGGTAATCTTATGAAAGAAGGGGGAGATAGGAAGACCTGGCAGGGACAGGAGCTCCACAAGGAGAGCAACAGACCCAAAAGCCTGAGCACAGGAGTCTTTTCTGAGACTGATACTCCAACCAAGAACCATACATGGAGATAACCTAGAACCCCTGCTCAGATGTAGCCCATGGCACCTCAGTCTCCAAGTCGGTTCCCTAGTAATGGGAACAGGAAATGTCTCTGACATGAACTCAGTGGCTGGCTCTTTGATTACCTCCCCCTGAGGAGGGAGCAGCCTTACCAGGCCACAGAGGAAAACAATGCAGCCAGTCCTGAAAAGACCTGATAGGCTAGGGTGAGGTGGAAGGGCAGGAGGACATCCCCTATCAGTGGACTTGGGGAGGGACATGGATGGAGAAGGGGGAGTGAGGGTAGTATTGGGAGGGAATGAGGGAAGGGCTACAGTGGGGATACAAAGTGAATAAACTATAATTTATAAAAATAGAAATAATTTTTTAAAGTGAAAAAAATAATAAAGAGCCAGAAAATGTCAAAAACTGTTATGTTTACACGGCTTGAAGATTATAACTTCCAGCTTATCATACATTGGTACAACATTCTTTATGAATATCTATTCTTCCAGGACTGAGGACAGGTGGATCGTGGGTGAAACACTTCCGGCGCTAACCTGAGGATCTGAGTCTGCACACTGAGCACTGTGGTAAAAAGCTTGGCACTGCGGAACATGCCTCTTACCTGCTTGTTATCCCAGCACCGAGAGGTGGAGACAGTAGGGTCCTGGGAGCTTGCTGGCCAGACAGCCTAGCCAAACCCACAGGCTCAAGGTTCAGCAAGAATCTGTTCTCAAAAACTAAGGTAGACAGCCATAGAAGGCACATGAAATGCCCATAAAATGGCTGTACACATCACAAACACACACACACACACCACACACTACACACAGACACACACATCATACACACAGACACACGGAGGGGGTGCGTATTGTCTCAAATATTCTCTTGAATTGTTTCTGCAGTTCTGGCACTCAATAATTAACTTATGAAAAGAATGGCTGGTGTACATCATCGAAGGAAGCTTCTGGATCATTTGGGAACCTGGACTTTTTTTTATTATTATTATTATTTACATTTTGGCAAAGACACCTTACTCAGATTTGCGAGAGTGATAGGCATTCTCAACTTTTATACAAGAGGAGAACAGTTATTACGGGCACAGACATGTTCCCAGGTAAACCAATTTTTTGAGAACCTGGAAAAAATAAGATTCTTTAAAACCCCATCCTTGGGTTTGGTAGACAACCATGCTGGTGTAATGGGGCACAGACGCCTCCAGATGGCAGCGTTGGACAAGTGATTGAGTGCTACCGCAGGCTCCTTCTCAGGAGAAAGGGCACTTGGGCTCAGATGGGTTGGGAGCCCAGCCTGGGCAGCTCAGGCGGCTCTCTCTGGTATTTGCACAGTGAATTACTCATAGGGAAATGCCTCCAGGGACAAGGGAGACCAGAGATTCCATCCTGTACCTAGACTCGGCTGTGGACAGTTGATACACACAAAAGCTATCCTTTCTCCTTTTCAAGAACTGAACTTGGGAATAAAATTGAAGGTTGAATTAATAGGTCTGATTCACCCCTGAGACTTTTTTTTTTTTTTTTTATTCTGAAAAGAAAAAATAAAGGCAGCAAAGTCTCAACCATTTCTAGCTGAGAAGGCAGCAGAGCAAAGAGGCTAAGAACGCCAGCTCTGGAGTCAGACAGTCTGGAGCCCGCACCTCAACCTTCCTGAAGGTAAGGTCCAGACTTTCCAAATCTCCACTTCCCTGGCTGGCACACAAAGGCGAGGGTTGGCTGCCTTGAGGATTAAAGGAGCTGGAACTTGGGAGAGGTGGCATTCAGCAAGAGCCCAGGAATAAGAGTCATGGCAGTGAGGCTACCGAGGTTAGGTTGCATGCCATCAGGTCAGGTCAGGCGCTACGGTTCTAACTCTCCATTCATGTTCAGTGAAGATGCGTGGGAGGTGAGAGATCCATCCACTTTGACGCTGAATTCCACAAACCTAGGGCAGCGCCGGCGGAGCAAGGCAGAACTGTGCATTCAGCTTCTCCACACCGTTTAGGCAATCCCTTCCAGTCTCAGGGTCTGCCCCCGTGTGGAACAGAGCCGCCCCCCCCCCCCACTTGTTTGAACGAGTGTGTATGGCTGTGTGACACAACCACCAGCCTCTGAAACCGCCTGCCTCACATGCAGAAGTGAGGGCAGTTTCTCCTGCATGGACACTCCTGTGAGGTTTCAAAGGGCAGCGGCCAACTACTTGGAAAAGCATGGGGAGCTGCAAAAGTCGCCCAGGATAAGACCCCACCCCTCTGCCTCAGGTGGGGGAAGGGAGAAGGATGAGTTCAGGGCAGGGCATAGACACAGCTTGGCCAACATATTTGTCCTTTCACCTGGCAGCTGTCCAGCCTCCAAATAGCCTGGTGTCTAATCCAAAAATAAATCACATGACAGGGGAAATAAAAGTGCATGGACTCCTGTCCTTGGTCTTCTGGTGGAATACTAGTGCCAGCTGGCTTTGCAGGGGCGGGAGAAGGTGGACCTCTCTCTGCTGCCTTCTCCCAAGGCCAGGAAGCCACCTGTTGAGTAGCCAGTGGGGCGTGTGGTTTCACTCAGCCTTTCCCGTGGGGCTCTCGTCCACTCCATTCACACCGGAGGGAGAAGACGGAGGGACTGGACAAGTGGCAGAGCAGCCTCCAGGCGACCAGGGTATGCCTGCCTCCTTTTCTGGATGGACACTCCCTTCTCAGGGTGAATGGAAACTCCCTTTCTCAGCAGCCCAGTGTGACTGCGGAGGCTGCCGCCACCCAGAAAGAAAGCTGCCCAAGACACAGAGAGGTGAGTGCCTGTCCCTCACACCTTCCTCTTGTCCCTCCTAGCTCCCGGGCTCCCAGATCTGGATCTGGGTCAAAGACCGGCTGGAGTCTGCAAAGATTCCTGTCTCTCATTCAGAGGCAAATTCGCCCCCAGAAAGAACTATGTAGGACTAGCTCTTAGCCAGGAAGCAGGAAATGATTCCTACCCAGTGAATTATCCGTGCTTAGATCCAATAAGAGGTTGCAGGAAATTGTAGACTGGCCAAATCCCATCACCATAAAGTTAATGCTTTCTAAAAAGCCCAGCACAGAACAGGAAATAAAAGAAACGCAGCTGATTCTCCCTTAATGGGCAAAAAGGGAAAAACAAAACAAACAAACAAAAACCCCTAAGAACTGCAAATCTTCTGTTTCTTGCTCTTGTCTGAAGTTTCTGCAAGATATACTTAACAGACTTAAATAACTCCTTACTTTAAGAAAAGAAAAAAATGAATTTTAGGGAGGGTTGCTGGATAAGCAGGGCAGGGGAAGAGGAGAAATTTACATCTTAGTCTAACTTTGAGTACACTGTAAGGATACATGCCCACTATTGAGTGTGCACAGGGCCCACTAGCCCTAGCACATAGGTTATACTACTGCAGACACAGGTGGCCCTGAGCTATGGCTTGCATATATCAAAGCTAATAAGGCATAAACAAAATCCTGACAGGAGCCATGTGCATGCACAAATCTGGGATTCTTTCAATGATCACAGTCCAAACCAAGGCTGAAGAAACTTAGGCAAAGGGATGGTATTTCCCCCTCATCTTGAAAGCAAAGGCTTTGGTATGGTGGCTCTAGGTGGATAGGTAATAGTAACCTGAACCCTTCTCTCTCCCTTCTCTGGCTCCCTGTGATGTTCTGTTCCCAGAAGAACTTGCCGTGATGGTGCCAGGGTGGCTGCCAGCAGCTCAGCTGATACTCCGCTGACATACTTTTCTAGCTGGTCTCAGGCTTGTTTCTCACAGAACCGATGTGAAAGGGGCTACATCCATCGCTCCTGGGAGGGGTTGGGGGTAGTCATCTTCTCCAGCACCGCTGGATTAAGAGGTTTAAGGTGGCTCCCCAGAGGCAAGCCGGGTAGGTGTCCACCCCAAGAGAAGGGGTTAGTGGCAGGAGCCAGAGCCAGCAGTTGCCACTGTGTGGCTCTGTCTGTGAAGACAACTTTGATCCCCTTCCTCTTTCAGTCATCAGTGTTATCGATAAGAGGTTTCAGAGGAAGAATAATTATTGGTAGAATGGGTCACTAAAAGATGCCACGGCTTGTCATACCCAGAGACCCCTGATAACGAGGAAGATGCCAACACAGAGAAAGCTGACCCTGGCTCAGGTCTAGACTAGCCCCATGCCCTGACGGCTCTGCGCTGCCACTGCCTGTCTCACACATGCTACTCTTCTCTCTACTCCCCTTGTCCCTAATCTCTCTACTCCACTGAATTCATCTTGCCTTGCAACTCCCAGCCTCAAAGTAGCACTTCCCTTGGGGCCCTGTCTAATCCTTCCAGACGCTCTGTCATCTCTCTTCTCTGCACCTGAATGACACTGTCAGGACTGTTGTTTATTTGTTTACGTGCAGTCAGGAAGAAGTCTAAGATAACATTGCCCCTTTTCTCCTCTATCCTTTTTCTCTCGCAGTCCATCACTGAGAGGAATCAGGTCAGGATCTGGAGCAGAAGCCAGGAGGAATGCTGCTTATTGGTTTTTCTCTCTGTGGCTTGCCTAACTTGATTTCTAAGATAACTCAGGCCCACCTACTGAGAGGTAGCTCCACCCACATCAAACATTAAATGGTGACTAATCCTTATACTGTCCAGCCCTTCAGTCACAAGCAATGGGCCTCTGGGCTGAAGCAGGTACCTGGATGCCAACAACATCCTCCATCTAAAAGCAAATTGCTTATTTGACACACACTAGCCTTTTCATGTAGGTTTAACCTTCCCAGGAGGAGAGACCATTTGACTTCTGTCATTCATCTTCACATTGTCCTATAGTGAGAATTTTGGAACTTTGCTTTCTTTAAATACTATAAAAAATTTTTATAATGTTATGAGAATTATAAATATAAAATATTATAAGAATATATTTTCATTTTAATCCCGGGTATGGGGATATGGGGCTGCTTTGCAGCAGCTGACGATGATTTGCCTCATGCTCTAGCAGAGGCATGGTTTTGCCAGAGGCAGATACTTTCTTCAATTGTGTGACCTTTGGGATTCTGGGGACTTTTCAGAGGGTATATAAGTGTTAGGGCCCCCAAGAACAGAGGTGGGGGGTTGTTAGTGGGTTGTTGTTTGTAGTTGCTGTTGGTTGCGACTTGTTATGTGGTCACGTGCAAAGAAGAAACAAGAAGACATTAGATATACTGATGGCGAAGATCAAACTTGCCCCAAGGAGCCTGATGTTCTTAGTCAGCGGGAAGCAGTCAGGAAGAAGTCTAAGATAACATTGCCCCTTTTCTCCTCTATCCTTTTTCTCTCGCAGTCCATCACTGAGAGGAATCAGGTCAGGCTCTGGAGCAGAAGCCAGGAGGAATGCTGCTTATTGGTTTTCTCTCTGTGGCTTGCCTAACTTGATTTCTAAGATAACTCAGGCCCACCTACTGAGAGGTAGCTCCACCCACATCAAACATTAACAAAAACAAATGCTCTACAGAGTTGCCTACAAGCCATCTGAATGGACACATGAGGTTTTTCTTCCCAGAGAACTCTAGCTTGTGTCAAGCTGACAAAAAAAAACTAGCCAGCATCAAAATCCAGTAGGATCTTAACCCTTGACAGTGATTGGTTGAAAGTGTGGTCTACTGTGCTCTGGTGAGCTTGTGTCTCTCCTATAGAGCATGGCTACAAGGAAGACCATAGATGGGAAAAACAGGATCCAAGGCCTGCCCCCTCCTGCACAGCTCCCTTTAAAGCCTTCAGTGCTTGCATGCTTTTCTCTCCACCTGGATTTCAGATCATCCCTCTGTAAACATTTACTGTCTATCAATTTATCTCACTAATGTTTTGTGGTAGTGCTTACCTGGAATGTTCCCCTAAAGCCTCTCAGTTTTTACATTTAAGACTCTGATTTATGTGCATTGCAGACTGGGAATCCAGCTAGCTTTTACCAAATAGCAAGATAGTTCCCAAACCAGGTGTTCCTACCTAGGGAGCTAAACTGGACTTGGGTGATCTTGTTGCTTTCTGAAATTAAGTGTAAAAATGTTTTATGTGAGCATACTTTTCTGGAGAGTGGGGCCATACATTCTGTCAGATTTTCAAGGGGCTTGAGCCTGCCTCAGTTTCCCAGCCTGCTCTGGGCCAGACTGCAGGGCTCTGAGCACCAAGGCTGCATCTAAAACAGCAGCACAGTTAGACTGTTCCAGCCATACCAACCACACCCAGTGACAGGTATGGGCCAGGCTTAGGGCTGACAGTGTGCTGAGAACAGCAGTGGCTCTCACAGGTTCCCCCGTGGGCCCCTAAAGTGGAAGCATTCTCATCCCTGGCTGTCCAGTGGATGGGACCAATAAACCATGTTAGCTGACAAAACTTGGATTCTTTCTGACACAAAGACTTTGAAAAGGTTTAAGTCCAATACAGAAAAGACCAACTGCAAAGAGAATAACCATTACAAAGAACTTGCTGGGTTCATCGGGGTAGTCAGGACACTTACGTGATGAGCAATGTCCATGCGGTGAACTGAGATGTGCAGAGGTGCCAGTGAGCTTGGCTCGGCTCTTGGAGCAAAGTAAGGGTACAAAGAAAGATGCAACCTGACTTACCATTTAGCAAGATTCTTCTGGGACTACCCATGGGGCTGAAGGAAGAAACAGGAAGACAAATTAAAGGGAAATTGCTGAAATCAATAATCCCAGAAAGAAATATTGGTGCTTGGATGAACCAGCCAATGTCCCCAAATCTCAGTATGTAGCCCAGGCTAACCTTGAACACCCTATCCTCTGCTTCTACCTCCAGACTGCTAAGGTTACAGGCCTGTACTACCTCACACAGCCTAGAGGCCAGTCAGTAAGCAAAACAAGCAACAACAAAACAGCACCACAAACACACAGGAAGCTGTTTGTAAGTGTGATCACATCATGGAAGTAGAGGCATCTTCTCTCTGAGAGAGCCTGATTCCTCACACCTGGCCATCTTCAGGGGGGACAGGGTCGTTTTATATTTTGAAGTACTATGTGTTCTTATCGCAACAAGAACTTTATACATCCAGTGCAATCACTCAGGCCTGATCTGGCAGCACAGGCCTGTAATCTCGGCTACTTGGGAGGCTGAAACAGGGAGAGTGTCTGGGCTACATGGTGAGCTCAAAGCCAGCCCAGACAATGAGTAAATGAGTGGTGGGCTCTTGTCTCAAAATGTGTTAAAGGCCCTAGGTTGGATCCCCAGGGCCACAGAAACTGCACGCTCTAGCTTGAGCTTTTGTAATCCCAGAACTTGGAAGGTATAGGCAGGAAGATCAGAAGTTCAAGATCATCCTTAGCTTACAACCTGAGGACTTTGAGGCTAGCCTGGGATACACTAGAGCCTGTCTGAGAGAGAGAGAGAGAGAGACAGAGACACAGACAGACTGACAGACAGAGAGAGGGAGAAACTGGGGTATCCATATCCCATATGTGGGCATATTCCACAATCCCACTTGTGGAAGGGAGCCTTTTTTTCGCAGCTGCTGGGCAATCAGCTAACATTCTTGGGTGATTCAGTGACAGGGCCAGGCACCCCTCCTGTGAGCCACTGTACCCAGTGTCTGTCCTCCAGCTTTGCTGATGTATTTGGCCTTGAGGTCACCTCGGGTAACTAATGCAATTTCTTGAGGATGTCTGCAGCGCTTCCCTGGCCAGTTGGCAGCTGGCTCCCCAGGTGGCCAGGATGCCCTTGTTTAACAGCCTGATTGGGCATAAACAGGAGGAAATGCTCTGCTGGAGAGTGGCACTCAACATCTAATTTTGCCTATCAGCTGACTAAGATTTGCTGAGCCTAAACAAGGTCAAAAGGTCAAACGAGATTAGGAAGAGTCTCACAGAGTAGCATCTCTTACTCAAGCAAAATGAATGAGGGAGGAAGGCTGAAGCAAAAAGCAAAATATCAAACCTCAGCTCAAGGGTCAAGGATGAGATTTGAGATGCCGGGGGGGGGGGGGGGGGCGGCCCGCCCCGGGGGGCAGCAAGGGTCTTGTCCTGCGGGGGTGGG